ACATCTAGTGAAGTCACCTTTAACAGTAATCATGCAATACCGCTGTTAAATGCTCAATAATTCATAGAAATTGGATAGGTTTACAAGGATTTTCCTTAAAGTGAAAAAAAGCTTGTGTTCTTTTGTATACAGAGGGATTATCTTTTAACACTGATCGTATATTTAATACTATAGTTATCAAAGTGGTCAACATGATCAATTTATAATTTTTCACGAAAATTTGACGACTTTTGTATCCAGCGATTGCATTCAGCGATACTGAAGATCGTATATTTAATACTATAGTTATCAAAGTGGTCAACGTGATCAATTTATAATTTTTCACGAAGATTTGACGACTTTTGTATCCAGCGATTGCATTCAACGATACTTTAGTATTAATCATATATTTAATGTTAAAACTACCAAAACGGTCAACATGATTAATCACGATCAATCTTTCATAAAAGTTATACAGATTCATAATTTTTCGTAAAATTCAGTGGGATTACCTTTAACAACTAATGATATATTTCATTCTACAGCTGTCAACACGATCAACAACATAATTTTTCATAGAAATCTGATGAATTTTACAGGGATTTTCTTTAGTAAGTACATAAAAACGAGCTTGTGTTCTTGGTGTCCTTTAACATCAGTCTAATACTGCGACTAACCAGAGTGAAACTGGCCAATTTATCGTAATATTTCACACAAAAGAAATTTTGATAAATTCACGATTCAAGAGCTGTTTTTCGTAAAGTACACGAATCAAAGTGTTCCTTGCCTTTTCTCATCCTCGTACAGAAAGAAAGTTAGAGGGTTAAATGTCTCTCGGGGGCAGTGAAAAATCCGCGAGTGAGAAAAAGAAATTGGCGGGAAACTTGCAAATCGGCAACGTGCTATCGCAGAAGCGCCGGCAAACGGGCAGCCGCGGACCGGAACAAATTAGCTGAGCTTTTGTATTTAACTAGCCGTATCAAAGCGTTAAACGCCTGTATCTCGCCGGATTTGTAAACAGTAGAAACGGAGGATTGCATCTGGAGATAATTTCAGGGAGATGGAAGATAGAGCCGGAGCGGCCTATAGTTCAACCGGTAGTCGTCAATCATTGCCAGACTTTCGATAGTAGCGGCTCCATTCGTAAATGGAAGTTCTCCCCCCCTCTGCCCCGACAGATGAGCAGATCTTCTGCTGACCATTGACCGGCTATGATTTCACAAGCCCCTTTCTTTTTCCCTCGAGCCTCTCCAGTCTCTCCTCTATCACGTATATTTGTTCAATCTAGAACCGTGTATATGTATTGTGGTTACCGGAATCCCGCGTCGACGAGATCAAATCCAACAGGTTGTGTGTCAAATAAATTCGTTCATCTCTCAGTGTTGGATTTTTCGGGACGTCGAAAGTATATTGGGCGTTCCCGAGATCGGTCAGGATGCGATTCCGTGATAAGTGTAAAAATAAATTGAAAGGGAAGAATTTTTAGGGAATGTTCCATTTTTTTTATATTCCGAAAGAATGATTATGTAGAGTGGAATTCTTTTGCAAGGTGCTCCGTTTTCGAGGACATCGAATTTGTAAGTTTCTGGAGGTATCGAGTGTATCGAACCTTCAACGAAACATATTTGGTCTAAATAATTCGGTCTTGAAAATGAAAAAATTTTATCCCACGTTTTGTACTTATTTCTGCATTTAAGATAACCTCCTAATTATTCTTTTCTGTCACGAATTAGATAAATTCAAGTATAACTGACAAACTTTCAGACTCGATTTCCTTCAAAACGAACTTAATAATTACACAATTTAATAATTTCGACAACGTGACAGCAAGTTTTTCTTTTTTTGTTCTATTGTTTCAATCTTTGTAATCATCTAATAACAACGTAATAATAATTAAGTAAACGATGTCAACGATTCTATCTATTTGTTGTAACTCTCGTCGTAAAATACGAATCTTCCATTAACCAAAATTTTCCTTCTCTTTTCTTCCGTGGTTCGTGAAGCTCACAAAGTTCGCAAAGAATTCGTCAAAGTATCACAAAGATTCGAGATCTTGGACAATTTTATTCCAAACGAGAGTAAAGGTTAACGATCGCGATAAATAATCGGTTGCAAACAGAAGATATAGGAACAGAAGAAGAATAAGACTTTTAAACAACTTCATTTTGCCTACGTCAATTAATGAACGTTAATATTCTTCAGCGTTGTATCGTTGAAAACCCACGTTCACTCTAACCTGTGTCTTCATCACGTGTGTCCCTGTCGCGATCATCGATCATTCTTCTCGCACTCTTGTTCTTTTGCGCACTCGTGTGCTAAGAGGTCGAGGTAGCAACGAGTTACGTGTAATTTACACGTGTGATTTATGTCCTCGGGAAAAACAATGATGCACCGGTTGGCGAAGATTCATCTCGATAGCTTTCGACTACCGATACACCGCTCGTTCGGGTACACCTTGTGGCGTCACGCTCGAGCGGAGCACGCGATCACACGCGCGGATAATAGCGTTACCGGCGCGGCATTGAAAGTTATGAATGAAATGTAGTGCAACGACATTGGTTGCGCGAGTGCCACGATCAATGAGACATCACCGCGCCACGCGTGTCCACCGACACCAGTCTATTATGTTACACGATGTGATGTAATAATGCGCGCGTGGTCGGTTATTATATTAATTAATTAATTCATATTTCGTCGATTGTTATGATATTTTTGTTATTTAATTAATAAGCTTAATAAATTTAATAAGTATTAATTTATTAAATTTGAAAATTAATAAATATTAATTTATTAAATTTAAAATTAAAAATTAATAAAAAATAAAATTTAAAATAATTAATAAAAATTAAATTTAAAAATTAATAAATATTAATTTATTAAATTTAAAAATTATGATATTTTTGTTATTTAATAAGCCTAATAAATTTAATAAATATTAATTTATTAAATTTGAAAATTAATAAATATTAATTTATAAAATTTAAAAATTAATGAATATTAATTTATTAAATTTAAAAATTAATGAATATTAATAAATTTAATAAATATAAATTTAATTAACAGTAATTAACAAATTTATGTAAAACAAGAAGCAGGATATTTGAAAATTAAATATCAATATAAATGTTGAATATCCCACGTAGGGGATATGGTGACTTTTCAGGAATTAATCAAACTTAAATTACCCTGATAAGAGCATCGTACGAAATAATTCGCGTTGGAAGTAACGAATGTTACGAGAGAATGGGTTTGCCGACCCGATCGTTGGTTGCGATTTTCTATTTGCAGTCGAATCAACATATACGCCTTTATTTCGTAATTCGTTGGTACTTCGTCGCGACGTGGCATGAATCTCTTTGCTTTCATCTCAGGGAACGCGCGCGCGTGTGTAAATGACTATCATCGCTATATTTGAACGAGCACGACTAGCGACGAGCTACCGTAAGAAATTATTCGGCGATGGAACGCCTTATTCGAGCCTTTGACTAGTCATTCACATCAATTCACATTCAACGAATTCCACTGCGCCAATGAATTTCTGTACAGTTCAAAACACGTTGATCGATCGATCTTATTTTCGTGATACTCGAAATATTCGAAACTTTAAATCGCTCTGCTATCTGTTTTAACCGATCATTATTTTCCAATCTGCTCGCTGGTAATCTTCCAATTTTGTTACGCTGTCAAATTATTTAAGAGGCTCTTCAAATACTTCATTACTTCATTTTGTTATGGTGAATGAAATATATATCTTATATATATAATATATGTAATAAATGAAAACGAATGTCGCGAACGAAGGCACGTGCGAGTTTCGGATGATACGTACCACTAGCGAAGTATTTTGCACAACGTTCGAGCGAAGGGAGCACTTTTAGTAACACAGAAAACGTATAGAGTAGTGCATTGAACATTAAAATCGAGTGTATAAAAATTTACGTTCTTACGCGCCAATTAATTTCAAATAAATTATACATACAACTTATTCGATGTTACAGTGAAAAATTTATTCATAATCTGATAAAATGGATCGCATAATCGAACCGAAAAAAATTGTCTGCTAATAAACCATTTAATCATTTAAGAAATTTACTGAATCCACGTTAAATAGCAATCATTGTACTTGACAGTTGGTTTCAACTTTGAAGACAAAACACCTCGTTCTCTTTTGTTCGATCTGCTTTGACTAATTACTAATGGAATTATTCAGTAAATTGCTACGTGCAGAATCATCAAATCAAGAGACGATTTATGTCAATGATATTCTACTCAGCCTACACGATTATCATCGGTTTCTATTTTACTATCAATTCTCTCTAAAACGCCTCACTTATCCTGAACGAAGCCACTACTTTAAGACCACTGTAACATATTTGTAACTCTCTAAAGAAAGAAAGATACGTTTCGTATCTGAAATCCAAAATCCTAACTGAATTTGGCTCGAAAGAATCATTCGAGAACAAAACCCATTAACCATTTGCGCTGGCAACTGATTGCGGACCATAACGAGTGACCAAACCGTACACAACAACTCGTCGCTTTCTTTTTGGACCCGTCAATATGATATCACTGGATAGAAATGATTGAAAAGTAATAAATTTATTATTCATTTTGCCTGGGTTATACTTCAATATTAATTGAAACTTAATTGATACTGAGAAAATGTTGCAATTTTCGGACAAATAATTCTCGACGTGCGTTTCATTTCAGCGCAAGAGGTTAATCTCAATTTCTAGAGCACCCTGCCTAACTATTTATATCAAATTCACCGACTGTTAAAAGAAAGGAGAGAAAGAGAAATGCACAAAAAGGCAAAGAAGAAAAAAAAAATGCGAGAACAAAAGAGGAAGGGCCAAACCCATTAAGAAGTCTCAACGTCTCAAAACTCACTGACTGGATTGTCAAAGGAAAAAAACAAAAAAAAAACACAAAGGAACAGGTATCGAGAGCCAAAGGGATCGTAGATAGAATTCTCGTAGCACGTCGCGTGGCAGTCCATGCGTTATTATGGGGGCACGTACCAGGCTGAAGAAAGAGGCGCGCACACGGCCGAGCATCCTTGGCACCGGTTCGCTTCCGTTTCAGCAAGACATATCGTCACAACGATCCCCAGAGTGTCTCGAAAACAGATGTGATGGATTCCTCCTCTCTCTGTATTGTACACGCAGTGTGCCGTTCGAACTGAAAGACTGAAGACGTAGCCGGCAGAAGAAGGCTTATATACAGGGTGGGGGTCGGCGAGACCAACCGACCAACTTGGTGCCCATCCTTCTCGGTGTGTGTCTTCTCTTTTCCCCATTCTTCTCCGTTTCGTCTCTTCAGGGATAATTCTTGCGTGTTGTCCCCCCCCCTCCCCTCCCCCTCTTCCCCTCTCCCCTTCCTCCTGGATCCTTGTGCCCGTCTTGGTTTCCGGAGGACCCTTAGAGAGAGAGGAAAGTTCGTGTAAAAAGCCACGTGAAACGTGATGGCGCGATTTTTTTTCAACGATCGCGTCGTTATATTTATGGAAATGGGTTTAACCGGGGAGAGAGGGGTCTGGGAGGAGGGAGTTCGATGGTTTCTGGGATTCTCTTCCCTCTTCTTTTCTGTTTTTTGGTAGTTTCGAAAGAAACTCGCACGCTCGGTTGTTAAACCGAAACCCGGGAGGTTTGCTAGGGACGGATGATCGATGAGTGTCGGAGCGAGATTTAAAATTGTTTCTCCTTCTTCTTCTTCTTCTTCTTCTTCTTCTTCTTTTCTTCGGGAGGGAAGAGGGGAGATTTTCGTCGTAATTTATCTTCAGATTAAACGTGTTACACCACGTTTTTCAAGAAGAACAAAGCGTGTACTTTACGTTTGATACTTCGTACGTAGAACCGCCATCAATCGTCTTGAATGATAGATTTTCACGCGAGGACGCGAAGGCAAATAAAACACGCGCAGCATGCAAAGATGTAGAGGGTACTCTACTTTTGCATTTTGCGCTTTGTGTTCGTAAATATTATATTCCTGGAAGAGGAATTTCGCAGAACAACTTGGTGGATATTTCAACTGTTGAATCACTTGCACGTGCATCGCTTTCTTCTTTCTCTTTTTTTTTTTTTTTTTTTGACAGAATTAGACTTATGATCCTTCATTTGCAGAGATTTACAAAAATATAGTATACTGCATACAAGTTTGTATCGCGTGTAAAAACGAACGTCAGTCCGCGATCCGTAATCTCTCGTATCATTGAAAAGAAAAATTGGGGAAAAGCGATCGTAAGGAGCGCTCTTTCAAGAAAAAGAAAAAAATAACAGCGTCGCGTTTCTTCTCCTTTTCCCCTGCAGCTCGCAGTTCTCTTTATAATTGGATTTAATCTTGCTCGTTATTGAATAAAATAGGCAAATAAATAAGCATAATCCTCGTGGGAAATGAATTGTAAAGGATCTTTACAGCGAAATCATCACGTGCTCCTTGATTTTCTCGCTACTTAACCTTTTAACATTGTTGCTTACGCCTCTGTCTTTCGCGTATAAATTGCACGCAATTGCTCGGTGCTTGCAACATTATGATTGCATTAATACATATATATAAATTCCAAGATAGACTGCGACATTTACTGGCGACATTTCGTGTTGAATCGAGACGAGTAATTATGATTTTTTTCAACCCGTCAGAGTGTGGATGTCCATGCGAATTTACACTCTTGTCGATTGAATTCAAGAAACAAAATCCGAACAGGGATTTCTTCTACTTTTTAAAATACCACGGCCAATTTCTTTCTTTTCATATTTTATGTATCTTTATATACATATCCGTGTATTGCAAATTTTCTACGAATTCACAAAAATCCACGGCGCAATCGTTGCAGATGATTTTGTGCATTTTTCGTTGGGGCGTTATAATATCCAGAGCTGCGAGTACAATAGACACGATAAAACGACTCCAGAAACAAGAAGTTTAATCAATTGTAACGCCAGACACTTGAGAAATATAACCTGGTTTATCGTTCGTTACGTTTCAGCTTTTGCGAGTGCGCGAATTTTCAGTCGAATTATACTTCAATTTCGAAGCGTTTGGCGAGCGTTTCCTAAACGAACTGTAATTTGAAAATTTGCCTGAGGGAATATCGGTCCACGGTGGCCTTTCCAGTGATTGTCAGGTTTGTGCAGGTATTTCGCAGGTGAGGACGAGACGCGAGGATGAATCATCTCGTTAAAGATTCCCGAGCAGTTTACTGTATCCGATTCATCGGGTTTCGTAGGTAACGCAATTGGGGAAGGCCGTGGAAGATACGCTCGTTCGCGACCTTCGTTCGGCTAGATCGGCGTTAACGCATTTTTCCACGAAGACTTTAACTAAGCTTTATAAAGGTTTTTCCTTTTTTCCTTTTTTTTTTTTTTTTTTTTTTGTTACACAGCTGCGCGCGAATGTCTCACGCTCCGAGCCAGTTTGGCCTAACGACGATCGTGAGAAATACACAGTTGCTGGTACTTTTTTTATGAGCACTTGTCGGGACTTTTTTTTTTATGAACGTATCACGTGTGTCACGTGCAACGATTCTGAAGTTTCATTGTTTCTCTAACGAGGCTCGGTCGTTGCGATTTTTATTGCTAAAGTTCGAAACAAATCTGAAATTGTACAAAATCTTCTGTGTGAAAAATATAAAATATTTAACATATTTATACATATTTAATAATATATAACAATACATATTTAATAATATATAATAATACATATTTAATAATATATAAGTATGTATTTTGCATAAATTATATGAAACAGTCTGAAGTTTCTATAATGAGAGTATAAGCGCCGTGATTTCATCTCGTAAAGTATAATGTATACTTTGTACAAATTATGTAAAACTTTGAAACTTCTATAACGAGGTCGTGATTTCATTGGTAAAGTTTGAAACAAATCTGAAATTGTACAAAATCTTCTATATAAAATATTTAACGTAAGTATACATTTTGCATAAATTAAATATGGAATATTCTGAAGTTTCTATAATGAAGTATGATCGTCGTGATTTCATTAGTAAAATCTAAAAATGTACATGTAAAAGGCACTCAATGTAAACGTACATACATTTCGCACAGATTTTATGTAACAGTCTGAAGTTCAATAAAATGCGATCACCATGGCTTTTTATTGGTAAAAATTGAAACAGATTTGAAAATGCACATGAAAGATACGAAATATTTAAATACAAATATGTACATACAAATCTCGCAAAGATTACGTTCTGAAGTTTTCATAGCGAGAAACGATCGTCGTAATTCTGTCAATTAAAATTTAAAACAAATTTGAAGATATATGCAAAAGCGAGATTGCGAAAAAAAAGAAAAGCACACAAAAAATTTTTGATAACACGTAGTTGAAAGTTTTCTATTGCATGACAAACGTTCGAGAATACTTTGGTGAACAAGTGTATCGAGGTGAAGAACAAAGGGTAACTTCGTCATCGATTAGACATCGATTGAGACGTTCTTAAAGGTATCTTGTCCCTGGAAAAGTTCTATTAACGAGAATTTTCTATAGTGGGCTATACTGGAACGTCGTAACAGGTCAATTATCAGTTAACGATCGGGACTTCTGGATTTCGTTTCCGTGTTTCGGAGAAGTAACACGAACGGTACCAAAAATGGCGACGAGTGCCTCCCGTAACAAGTTATCTCTAACAAGGAATCGTCAGCATAAACGTACGATTTCAGAAACCTTGGCTAAATTAATGGCGGTTTTAGAGATCAAGATCGAAATAGTTAGTTGTAGCGGATTTAAACAGAAACGTACGGTAGGAAATTAGTAAAGTGACGCAGCATTTATGGTTCTATGTCTATGTCGTTATGTTAATTTTTAAATATGTATTTCTTCATTTTTTTCTAATTTTTTATATATTTACATAAAATAGGAAGAATGTAGAAGAATATATTTTCTATACGTTTCTTAATTTTTTTAAATATATATTTAAACAGTATTTTCATACTTGTTGTTAAACTTTAATGGAAATAACCGAACTGAACGTATCTCTATAAAAAATTGGAATTCATCGACTTTACTTCTCACGAATCGAATTATAAACTCTGAGAAACGAAAAACTCTTTTTATTAGAATTATCTGCTCGTCGGTTGTATTATATCATTTGATATTGCCAGATTTAATTGCTTTTTTGGACTTTTGTGCTTTTATAAAATTTGAGGATGCACAGAATGTATATGATACGGAAAAACATAAGAAACACTTAAAATACAGCGCCTGTTAAATCAAACTTCTAGCTGGATCCTGCGTTTTTTAATTATTCTTCATAAAAAAAAAAAAAATGAATTTGCGTGAACGAGCCGCAGTATGACATTATTATTATTATTCTACATATGGTTTTGAGAAAATGACTTGTTAGATTGACCTATTGTTAGTCTGGGCTTATGGTTAGATTCGATGGATAAAGATTGACTTTAAAACTGTATACACAATTGAGCCGGTAATGGCTACGCTTTCTTCGCCGTTCGGGTGCGTTTCTTTTGTCGAAGGTTAATCGCGTTATCGATTATTGGATTTCAATTCTCGGGACGAGTTCCGATGCTGAATTCAATCTTTCAGTAAATTCGAAGATAGCGGGTTGACATTATTGAAACGCGAATGATGGTATTCTGTATATTCAGGAGTTTTCACAGCGTGGTAAATAAATAAATTAAAGTGAAAGTCGCAGAAATTTGGAGAAAAAAAGTAAAAAATTAGCATGAATATTTTGGCTTTGTCTTTAACACGTGAATGTTTCGGATATAATTTGGTAGAATTGTTTTCGAAATAAATTGTTTTTATAATTTATCATCAGCAAATGTTTTAATTCGTATTCCCAGTTTATATATACCTCTTTATCCAAGATTTGCTCATTTTCATTAAATCGGGATCTTTCGTGCCACACGTACTATTTCTACAGAATCACGCTAACTAATAAGTGATTAACTCATCCACAATCGTTGCTCACAGCGAACCATAAAATCATTCATTCCAACAATTTCTCACGTTCTTACTACGATTGAAACCTCGGTTGAAATCCTGTCATCGAAACCTCCACTTAACTATTCTAATTCAGAGCTTAAATTTTCGTTAAACTTTAACAATAAATATGAAATATGAATATTGTGTTTAAATATGTACACAGAATTCACTTCTTTGCTTATAGCGCAAAGGGCGTCGTCAAATGAAAAAGTTTGAGAAGCCCTGCTGTAT